AGGAGCGCTGGCTGGCGGGCGGGCGGGCGAGGCTTTCCCGGGGCACTGCCCATAATACCGGGCCGCAGGCCACTGTTAAGGGGGTCCTGTTGGAAGTGAAAGCATTATAACTTTCTATTAGAAAGTTCCCCACCCCCTTGCTCATAACTAGGGATCCTAGTTTTCTTTGATTCAAAAGAAATCCCCCACTTTTTGGGTAAAAAAAAAAGTAACCCCAAATGCACATTTTTCCGCGATTTAAAATTACATACCACTAATAATGTGTGTATCTGTGTATATATGTATGTATAGTGGGGTTTCATTTTGATCATGGGAAATGTGGGTTTGGGGCTACTTGTTTAAACCTGAAAATCAGGGATTTTTTTTTATCCGAGAAAACCAGGATCCCTGCTTCATAACCTCACTGGCCTTTAATCGCCTGGCCTGCAGTTTTCCATTTCAATGACCTGCCTCGGGGGTTTGGCTGTTTTGCCAAGGTCCACCCCAGCGTGATGTGCGCAACAGGCACGTGCTCAGCACAGACCCGGCTCCCCAAAGCGCCCGTCGTCCTCGCTCAGCGCCCTGACCAGGCTGCCGTGCCGTTCCCGCCGGGCACCTGGCCATTCGCCCGCCCCTCGCAGCTCCTAAGCGTGATGAGCCTTGGCTCCCGCCTTCCCCGCGCTGGCAGTGTAGGCTCCAGCCCAAAGCTTGTCGAGCTGATGTTGGGCTTCCCTGGTAACTGCTGCTGCAGATCAGAGCGGAGCTGCTGGGCCCTGGATCTGCAAACTGGGAGCCTATTTTTCCTGGGGTCTCCGTGTGCCTGTTGTGCTAGGCCGTGCGGAGAGGAAGCTGCCCGAGTTGAATGGAGTCGGAGCGCGGGGAGAGAAAGGACTGGACGATTTTGAACCATGGAGGTTCCTGAAGGGGGTGACAAGCAGCTTGAATGCGACGCAATGAAGGGAGCTGATGGGCAGATTCAGAAAGGCAGAACAATGGTGATGGTGCTACTTAAAGACCATCCCAAGGTTTTGTTTGTTTGGGCCTAAGGGCTGTTGAGTAATGCTCTAGTATTAATAACGACTATCAAATTATATCTGTAATACTAATTGTTATGTTTGCTGATTGCTTGTACTGCTGTACTGTTTTAAAGAGCAGCCCAACAGTTAGCCGGATCCTGCTGGCCCTTCAAGCAGAGGACTCGCTTGAGTTTTCTTGGTGGCCATTTCACGCACGCCGCGCTGGCAGGATTAGGCATCTCCGTCTAGGTCCCAGCTCCCCATTACAGTGCTGGGCCTCTGCAGGCTGGCTTGTGGAAGCATAAGGATGGGTCCTGCTCTCCTGGAAGCAGGTTCGAATACAGCTAAAGTCAACGGAGTTACATTGACGTAATTCAGGGCTGAATTTGGCTCCAGTTTTCAGGGTACTCATCCTTCAGCTACCTTAAATGTTGCGGTGAGTTCTGTAGAGAACCAGTTGATAACTCCATGCTGGCAATTTTCTTCCAGTTCAACACCTCTAGTTAGTCTGGGCCAAAAGAAATAGCACAGTTAGCAAGCAGGTGCGTAGTCTGCATGACAGGTTTTCTAGTACTGTAGTTCCTGAAGCAGTGATTATAGTCATACCAGTAGTTCCTAAACCAGGGTGCTGTAGCACTCTGGGGTGCCTTGACTTCTTTCAAGAGTGCCGTGGGGTGCCATCATAGCACTGTTAGGTTTACACCCACGATTCACAGGAGAAACCCAGAGACTTCAAATAGAAATCCCTGTTTCTGGACTTTCAGAGTTCTTTGCAACAGGAAAAAACATGCTCTATTTATTTTCCGTAGGCGAAAAAAAGGGTGAAAACTAAGAACTGGCACTTTCCACGTGGTGCCTTGAGTCTATCCAGAGATGCTGCAAGTTGAAACAGGTTGAGAACCACTGGTCCTAAAGCCTTGCCTCTCCTCTTAGTTCTATAATGAGCTTTAAAAAATAAAGGGACAAAATAAACCCTCCCTTCTGTACCAAAATCTGTCTAATTCTTTATGGCAAGAATTGTTTTGGTTGCCACCCATTTACACAATTTATCTTGAAAGGTGCTGAACTTCCTCAAGTCCCTGTAAAGGGAATAGGTCTTGTGTACTCAGGAACTTCTAAGGAACCAATCTCTGATATATATATATCTATATTCTCTATATATCTGGAGATTATAGATATAGCCATAATATAGATATAGATCTATCTATCTATATCTATATATATCTATATATTGCTGTGGTACTGGTTCCGGTTGCCTCTAGCATTTCAGGATCAAGCATATGTGGCTGATAGCGATTAATGGTGGAACAGAATGATCCATGGTGCAGTGTATTAAAACAACACGTCACCTAGGGAGAGATTTGAACTAGAGGATGAATGAAGTTTAATGAGTTATTCCCCACTGGGAGTGCATGAACTGAACTGAAGGAATGGGGTATTTCTGTGGTGCATTGCCATTTTTACTTCATGCTAGACTGAGTTTGATATTGGTAGTGTTAAGAAAAGGGGGAGTGGAGTGCTTTACAGATCTCTGTGGCAAGATTCCTATCTGGGCTTCAGATCAGCCAGGGGATTAAGCATGCCTAACTTTAAGTACACAAGTAGTCCTGTTGACCTCCAGTGAAATCACATGCTTCAAAAGGTAGGTGTATGGTTAAATCTCTGGATAAATCAGGGCCCCACCCTTTGGTAATTAGAGGTAGGCAGACAAATAGGTCTTGCATTCTGATTATTTTTGCACACTGAGATTTAAAGATGTTCTGGGTCAGAGCAGGGAATATCATGATGGATCTGGAGGTTTTGGTGTTTTTGCCCAAACATTCACAATAGCAGGCGCATATTTCCAGTCTTTGGACTAGTAACATACAAATTGCCAAATAGAGAAGGGGAGGAGATACATACCTGACAGGCCCTTGTTATATTTAGTCTGTTTGTTCATATCTGCAGACATTTTCTTTAGTAAAACCTCCTTTTAGGGAAAACTATGGCCTGCCTTTCACAGCTCATGCCATGGCAAGAACCAGTACAGTCCTGCTGTAGGAGGCAGTAAAAATTTGGGAGCATGGGGCAGGAGTCTACCCCCTATAGGGGACACACTTGGGCATGATGGATCCACGTACTAGCCCCGTCTCCCCCTACACCGTGATCTGGTTAGCTGGACTGTGCACTGGAGTAAGGATTTGGACAGCTGCTTAAGGAGAATCACGGCCTGTCCAGCAGGGCTTCATTGTTAATAGGATCCTGTTGGCTGTGAAAGCATCAGCCGGTTCGGATTAGAACAGGAATGGATCTTGGTAGCTTGCGGCTGCTCTTCCGGAGTCTGTCAAACAATCTCTTGCCATCCCAAATGAGTAACGCGCGGGATGGAGGATTGCTGACGGCAGCGAACTGGTGTTCCTGAAAGGCAGACTTCTGGAAGAAGCGGTGACGGGAAACCAAACAATTACATTCAGCTGCTTAGTGAAAGTGCTGAGTCAAGACTCTGGCAGTCACGTGAAGCATTTTCATTATGGAAGGAAAAAAAAAAAAAAGCAGAAGTTTCTTCTTTTAACTTAAAGGGCAGGTAGATCAGGTTGCAAAAGAGGCAGAACAAGCAAAACTTCCAGCTAAGGAACTTTGCAACATGATGTTCCCAAACAGCTGAGGAAACCTTTTGTCAGCTGATGAGAGGGGAAGAAGGGTGGGGTGAAGAAGGGAGTATTTCATCACCGGGAGCTAAATCAGTGCAACTTGATTTAATTACTTGCTAGACTCTTCCAGCAGCAACAGCAGCACGTTATCAGGTTTTCCTGTGGCACTAGCCTCCCTGCATTTATAAGCCATTGTGCTTTTTGCCACCAGTTTCCAAAGAAGCCTTGTCTGGAGAGAGCGTGTTGTAATGTGGCTAGTACTCAGCCAGTCGGGGTTAAAGGGTTCCAGGCTGAGACTTCTGTGCCATGTGCAAATGACACCAAACTATTTACAGAGGCCGTCAGTAGTGAAAGCTTACAAGTTTTGCAAGAGCAACTGACAGCTTAGTAGAGTTTGGGAACTATGAAATGCAAGGGTGAAAGCGGCATTTTAATTAATTACTTATTGATGTTTATAGCGTTCTGCTGTGGAAGCTCCAGTTCTGGAGCTGAGTGTGTATCGATCCTGGAGAACAAGTTGTTCCCTGAAGCCTCTGCGTTTGTACGTCAGCCACCTTCTGCTTCCGAGTTGGAAGAACAATCAGGGTTGTCCATATACTTTTTGGACCGAAACAAAGTCAAACCTCCGAGCTCTGTGGAGATTCCTGGCAACATACAATAATCCAGTCTATGTACCTATGTCCTCTGTGGCATTCAGTATCTAGGCATCATATAACAAGAGATTTTCTCTTTACTGTTTCAACATAGGGAAAGTATTTCCCCTTGGCCGCTGGTCAATTAAATAAGTTGCCCAACATCACAAAGTGTGAGAGTGAGCGAGGAATTCAGCTTATTTCTTCTGGATCCCACTGCCTTCATTTCTCTCGTCCATTGCTCA